GTCGTCTCGTTTAGGGAAACAAGAGTTAGCAACCACCATATCACTTGCTCTGGCAAACTCCAAGAGTGAAACTCCCGCAGGATTCCTGCTGCCAAAGCCAAAACCACCGTGCACGTCCTCGAAGCCCTCGTCTGATACTCCAATATGGCCATTGAAGTCGCCTCCAATGATGTAATAAGGAGTAATATAAAGTCATAACAAAAGCTAGACACAATTTTTAACCACTCTAAAATACACAATGTAATAATGTAAAGTCAAAACCAAAATTTAGACCAAAACATTATTTAACCATTACAAATACAATAATTTTTTAGTCAATCAAATTTCATTGAATTTAACTATATATAGTAGATGAAGAGAGAGATGTTGGAAAAAACAAAAATAGACAGAAACTTTTGAAAACGTATAAGATGAAGGGTAATTAGAATATAAAGTAATTTTGAGTCCTACACTCCTTGTTTACCCTGTTTTAAAATCTTTAACAAGAATTTCAATTTTTTTATTGTACAGCTCATGTTTATTTAAAAGGCCCAATAGCTTTTTCAAAGAAGTGCTAAAATTGGCAATAGCAATAAGGCTATATTGCCTCACGCCCTCACCATCGCCTCAACCGCCTTTTACTGTCTCGGGAACACAAGGTGTACGCCTCACAGCTTCCACTGATGTGGATGCCTCAAAGGCAAAAAAACATCTTGCCTTACCGCCTCAAGGCGGCTCGCCTTTTTCACCTTTTAAAACCATGAATGTATTTAATATTCGATATAAGATAACCTAACAAGAAATACAATATTCCATGTGACTTGAGATTTATAGCTCAAAGGGTAATCTCATTATCATGGGTAAAAAAATTATTTCACAAACCCAATGGCACTTATTGTGACGCTGTAATAAGACTATAAGAGTATGTTATTTTCGTCTGATCTGATTGGATTTGATCTAATTTTAATAACGTCTTGATCTGAATCAATGTATATTTCGGGTCTAATTCCAATAAGTAGTAAGAATATAGGGAAGTATTGAAGAGAATATGCTCTAAGTCTCAGGTTGCTGCTCATTCAAAGCAATCTATTCAAATTGTCTTACCCTAGCAACTACTTTTTAGCATTACATCCAGCCAGCTAGAGATCCATTATTGTGACAATTAATATGATTATAAAAATCAAAAAGATATATTTCACTGTCCTGTAAAAACATTAGAACTTTGATGAACGTTCATCTTTTATTTCTCAAAAATATGTAGAAACAAAAAAAGAAAGAAAATCAAACAGAACTAATGTACCTGCAAGTCTCTGCAACTCGGGGGTCAGTATCTCCTAAAGCATCAATCTGAACTTTTAGGCCCTCTGTGTAACACTCAATCGATCGATCCAGCTGACCGAGCATGGAATGAGTATCTCCCAGCTGCATATGCCCAGAGAAAGCAGCAAGCCCGTGATCCGCACCTTTAGAGGTATCCGGCACCCTGATGGCTCTCTCCAGCACAGGAAGAGCTTCCTCAAACCTGCCCAAGCTACAGTAAATAGCAGCCAAAACATGCAGACTCATCGCCAGGTCGAGACTGGGCTCGCCGTCTACAATGCACCTCTCAAATGATTTCGAGGCCCGGAGAGCATAATCCAAAGCCTTATTCGGGCCCTCACCGGACGCAATCGTATCCCTAGCCAGCTTCAAGAGGAATGGCCCGAGATCCGGGTTGTCCAGGGAAGATTCATCCATAACCGCCTTCTCGGGAGGCGATTTTTTCTTTCCGGATCCCCGATCTGGAGATGGCTTGGCTCGGGAGGAGGACGGAGAAGGAGAGGGAGGACGCCGTTGAGCCGGCGAGCTCGATTTGGCGTTAACATGCTCGGATCTACCTGAACTGGCTCCGATCTGACTTTCACTCCCCTCCGGGACTAGAATTCTCAACGGAGGAGCTTGCGGCGGCGTTTTCAATGAAACTATGCCCGGCATTTTTTTCAGCTCACAGTAACAACAAAAATCCGAAAGGAGAAATTCACCCCTTATTGCCCAAGTAAATCAATCAAAATTCTGGAAATGCTAAGCTATATTCTAGAATGCGCTTTATGAATTCGGACGGAAATGATGAAAAATTAAGAGAAATGATTATAGATTGGGAAACACTCCACCATTCGTCTACTGTTGAACAGCAGCATAGAGCTACATAGGGATGGGGGGAATTGGGGAAAGATAGCCAGATAGGATGGAGTTGTGTTGAAGACTTGAAGACGACAATGGGGCCAGTTCTAGTTGATTGATGGTAAATGTACCGGTAAGTTTGGTTATCAGTTATTTTGATCTAAAAAACTTCTCAAAACAAGAATAAGGGTAAATGCACGTTTTTGGGGCATGGACACGGCCGGTTCGAGTTCTGCAACCGCCCGTTCCAGCACCCCCACCGTCACCCTCCCCCCCCTCCTTGTATCACCCGCTGTTACTGGTACTTGTTCCGATTTCAGTCTTGCATCGATTTTTGATATTGCTTAACTTTTCTTTTCATTTTAAATATCATATGTGAAAGAAGTTAATCTAAAAAAAATTATACTTATATGGTGAACCTGTATACATCGGCGTGTTCTTTGTCTTCTCTTTTTTATTTCCGCTGTATTTTTATTTATTTTATAATCCTGCGAAAATCGGTATACATTCCCAACAACTTCATTCACCCCTTCCAGAGTTGCACACATTGTCTAACACCGCTTAGTGGTGGGCTTCACACTGTCGTAGTGAAACTGTATGGGGTGCCCTATAGGAATCCACCTCGACTTGGGGCTATAGAGAGATGTGGTTAAATAATAAGTGTCCACTTTCCTATCACCAATTGGTTTTAGGAAGTATTTGGTATCTCTTTAACTTTAGAACTCTATAGTTAAGCGTGTTGGAACACGATTAGTCCCAAGATTGGTAATCCACTCGAAAGTTACAAAATTTGAGCCTACAAATTCCTCAAATGCGGAGTACTACCTCCGTCCTGCTATATTCGTCCACTTTTGACTTTTGGAACTGTTCATCTAAGCACTTTGACTCATCAAATTCTCTCAATGTGTAAGCCTAAATATAGTCATGCGTGATCTTGTTTGATTTGTCTTAACATATAGATTATTAAAATTTTATTTTTTTAATTTTTTAATATACAAATTACAAGGTAAAATGGATTAAAGAAGTATATTGGATGGTGTGCAAAAATGAAAGTGGACAAATATAGTGGGACGGATTGAGTATTATTTATTCTACTTTGGTACTTTTTTCGATAGTATTTCTTTATACTTGAAAAAATATTGCATTGAAAAGTTTCAGAATCGACAAAAATTTTGTTCAACCCCGTGCGCCGCACAGATAAAAATACTAGTATAATCTAAATAATTTTCCCTTCGTCCCACTCGAATCTTTACATACACTAGATACAGGGTCAAACTTTCTATACTTTATTTTCTTATTTTCGATATTCAGTTGATAAAAAATAATCATGTCATATCTAATTTTGTAGATCTTTTAACATAGTTTTTAAATATAAAATTGTTACTTTTTAGTTTTATACACGCACTTAATTAAATTAAAATGAAAATAAAGTTTGGCAAGCATCGTAACGCGTATGGAGGGAGTATACTGTTATTCAACAATTTGTGTAAGAAATTTCAAATTATTTAAGGTAACCTTCTGGATGCTTGTGAGACCGAGGTTGCTTCTTCAACAAACGAAAAATAATGTACTTTGAAGTCTGTTATAGATAATTTACTTTCGATAAAAAGAAATCAAATATCTTTGTATCTGATAATTCCTTTTGAGTATGATGAAGATTTAGAGTTTAACGTGCTTAAATGGTGGAAAGCTCATCAACACCCATTCGTGGTCGTGGCTACGTTCGTGAAACAAATCCCATCAATGCATGTTTCAACGGTTGCATGCAGTGTAGCATGAGTTCAGTTCGAGGGTTAACACATTGAGTGACTACCATACGCAACTAAAGTGCCGTATCACTTGAAAAACTTTTTTACAATCGAGATAGATTATTAGTCCGACTTCAATGTAAGAAAGCGGGTTACGTTGTTGATGATCGAAGAACACTTCATGACGGCTTCAACAACGGAGGGAATGGCGAAAGTTTGGATTAATATATTTCGTCCATTTTTTTAAAGTTATTATTAAAATATAATTGTAATTTCAATTTCAATTTTATATTGTAAATTCAAAAGTATTAATTTAGATATTTAATACATTTAAGATTGAAATTTTATTTTACTTTTTTACTACATTTTACCCTTTTACATTTTTTAAAAATATTACATTATTTAAAACTAAAACACAACATTAAAATATTAAATAAAAAAACAATCAAAACTGGTTCCAAAAACTGGACCCGGACCGTGCCGCCGGCCACCGGTGTCAGTTATGGTTCTCCTTCCTTCGACATTGAGAACTGTGATTCCTGAACTAGAACCGTGTCAGACCGTTACCGTACCGACTATTATAGTAATTAATCAATTATAGAATTTATTCTTACTAAAAATAAATACCTAATACTCGTAAAAAAACAACCATGCTACAATTAAATTAAGGAGTGTACTCCAAAGTTACACCAAAGAGATATACTAACATTTTAATAATTTATAGTAACACAAAATATTAGTGTAATAAAAAAAATTTACACTAATATTTTGTATCTGTGCAATTTATCATACTCCGTATTAGTATCATACTGGCAGAAAACGAAGGTGGTCACATGTTAAATACGGAGTATAATTTGGGATACAAAATTACAAATTGTGGGATTAGATGGCGTAAATAAAAGTATGCATTACATGCCGTAAATAAATTCCGTGTTTTTCTGGATTTAATTAAACTCCGCAATTTTAATTAATTGACGTTTATTCTGGAAGCGCCACATGGGGCGTCGTAATTGGCTGGAACACCTCAGGCATTGTCACGCCTCGCAATAGATCACCGGTACCGTGGAACTTCTCTTCTATAAAACGGATGCATATCGACTCGAAGGCTTCAGGTGGTGTTTCTTACTACAGAGCGCACTTCGTCATTCTAAAATCCAGATCTCATCTTCATCGTCTGTTCTAGCACTCCATTTTTGGAGCTTCGGCCGATCCAACGCTCTCCCTGGTAAGTTATGCGCCTTTGTTGTTCTTCATATGACGATTGCTGAAGAGGTTTGGATGTTTCGATTCAATGCCGTAAAAATGCCAGGCTCCTGGTCCACGGAGATGCCTCAAATTGTTCATCTGGACCTTAATTTTGTGTTTTTGTTTTCGATTTTGAGGTTTATATTGTTATGTAGAGAATGGATCCATATATGGTTTCTCATATGCGGATGATATGCATACGTTGTAGGTAGATAGAAGCAGAGGTGGATTAACCATGGCCGTAGGTGGCTATTGGAAGCGAAGCGGTTCACTCGGCGTCCTTGCAATTGTTTTCATCGGTAAAAGCCGTGTACTCTTCTCTTTGTTCTTCTGTAGCTTATAAAGTTAGGAAAAGGGGACAGCTGAGTAGATCTAGCTCTCCCATCTTATAATGATTTATATCATCTAAATCTGGCATACTTATTCATGGAAAACTATGGAATTTGTGCAACGATCTCTCTATTTGGGGAAGACAATCCTTGGATTTGTCTTGTTCTGTATCTTTAATGGATAATAGCTTTTGTTCAAACTCAATTCTTATTGTTGGAATCTCTGTGGGTTTGTTTTATCAATTTGATAATTTCTCTTCATCGGAGGTGATTGGTTTGAAAGTGCAAGCATATGAACCTATTGTAAGTTGGTAATTTGACCATTAGTTTATAACAGGAATGAACTAAAGCTATTATTTACTGCTTATCTATGCACAACCTACCTACTGACAGGTTTGAGCAGACATTTTTGTCTGCTCAAGCCGTGTTACATATGCAAAAGAGCCTGCTAGAGTTTTAAATATGCTTTTTGATTGATTCGTTGATGCACATACATGTTACATTTTCTGAGAGCCAAGATATGGCTGAAGTTGATCGAACCAACCAACCTTTCACCTAATAAAAGTTATGTCGCTACTATGCAGTAAGATTGTAGCTATAAGTACCCATTCTGGATGGTTGTAAACCTCAACGATGCAAACTATATCAGGATAATAGTACTTTTAGGAGATAGTTGACTCACTACATAAGCTATTAGTGCCTTCACTTCTAGCCATTGTAATTCTCTAGTGGTGCGTTCTGAAATCTGAAGTGCTCCTATTACTTGCACCCGTCTGAAGAGACTTGAATGGGTGAATTAAAACTGTTTGATGAGTTTGTATTGAATTTCTTACTGGCTCAATTTATTCAACAGGATGTCTAGCTGCAATATCTATTGCAAAGGAGGAGGCGCCAAAGTTAGGCACAGTCATCGGCATTGATCTTGGAACAACTTACTCTTGTGTTGGTGTTTACAAGAATGGTCATGTCGAAATCATAGCAAATGATCAAGGAAATCGTATTACTCCATCATGGGTTGCATTCACTGACAGTGAAAGATTGATTGGTGAGGCTGCAAAGAACCAGGCAGCTGTCAACGCCGAGAGAACCATATTTGATGTTAAGAGACTTATTGGAAGAAAGTAAGGGGAACTTACTCAAGCGTAACGGTTGGGTTCTTTTGGATTTGCACTCATTATTTGCTTTGAACCTTTTTTCACAGGTTTGAGGATAAGGAGGTTCAGAAGGATATGAAGCTGTTTCCATACAAGATTGTGAACAAGGATGGAAAGCCTTTTATACAAGTGAAAATCAATAATGGGGAAGTCAAAGTGTTCAGCCCTGAGGAGATCAGCGCTATGATTCTTACAAAGATGAAGGAGACAGCTGAAGCTTTCCTTGGAAAGAAGATTAAGGATGCAGTAGTTACTGTTCCCGGTACATCTCAACTCCTAGGATAGATGTTTGATCTATTGTATCACACATGCCACATTATGGCATACTCATTGCTTCAAATCATTAAATGTTGGCTGACATGAACTTAATTAATATCGTGCAGCATACTTCAATGATGCCCAAAGGCAGGCTACAAAGGATGCAGGCATAATTGCTGGACTTAATGTTGCAAGAATTATCAATGAACCAACTGCTGCTGCCATTGCCTATGGACTTGACAAGAAAGGTCTTGAGAAGAACATCCTTGTGTTCGATCTTGGTGGTGGGACATTTGATGTCAGTATCTTGACCATTGATAATGGTGTCTTTGAGGTTCTATCCACTAACGGTGACACCCATCTGGGAGGTGAGATTTTGTCATATGGAATTCAATTGTTATTTTGTATAAAAGTTTCCTCTTGGAACCAGTACTAGTTTGGAAATGCTTGTGAAAATTAGTCTAGCACCCTAAGGCTTGTGTTGAAACTCTTCTTATCCTTATTGCAGGTGAGGATTTTGATCAGAGGGTCATGGATTACTTCATCAAGCTGATCAAGAAAAAGCATGGAAAAGACATAAGCAAGGATCACAGGGCTCTTGGAAAGCTCAGAAGGGAGTGCGAGCGTGCCAAGAGGGCATTGAGCAGCCAACACCAAGTCAGAGTAGAAATTGAGTCGCTCTTTGACGGCACTGATTTCTCCGAGCCATTGACCCGTGCTCGCTTTGAGGAGTTGAACAATGATCTCTTCAGGAAGACAATGGGGCCGGTGAAGAAGGCCATGGAAGATGCTGGGTTGGAGAAGAAGCAAATCGACGAGATTGTCCTTGTTGGTGGAAGTACCAGGATTCCAAAGGTCCAACAGCTTCTCAAAGATTTCTTCGACGGCAAGGAGCCTAACAAGGGAGTGAACCCAGACGAAGCAGTTGCTTATGGTGCTGCTGTTCAAGGCAGCATTCTGAGCGGAGAAGGCGGAGACGAAACAAAAGGTAACTCCGCACTTGAACACAATCACTCCTCGAGACCATTATTAATTAGTGCGTGATCATGAGGGTTTTGATTTACATACTGTTTGCAGATCTTCTTCTTTTGGATGTGACTCCACTTACCCTCGGTATTGAAACCGTGGGTGGAGTGATGACCAAATTGATCCCTAGGAACACTGTGATCCCAACAAAGAAGTCCCAAGTCTTCACCACTTACCAGGACCAACAGACAGTCGTCTCCATTCAGGTCTAATATACTAATTGATGATAAACACATTTTTTTTAAAATTCCACTTCCCTCGACCCCATTACATTCTAATAATAATAATAATACAAAAAATGACAGGTTTTTGAAGGTGAAAGAAGTCTTACCAAGGACAACAGACTTCTTGGAAACTTTGAGCTCACCGGAATCCCACCAGCTCCGAGGTTTGCCTGATCATCTCTCTCTCTCTCTCTATCTATAGATATACATCTCTCTCCTTGTAAAGAAATATGGAGTTTGAGTGGGTAAATAAAACAGGGGAACCCCACAGATAGAAGTCACATTCGAGGTTGATGCAAATGGCATATTGAACGTGAAGGCAGAAGACAAGGGCACTGGCAAGTCAGAGAAGATCACCATCACGAACGAGAAGGGCCGCCTGAGCCAGGAAGAGATTGAGCGCATGGTGCGCGAGGCGGAGGAGTTTTCAGAGGAGGACAAGAAGGTGAAGGAGAGGATCGATGCCCGCAACGGTCTGGAGAACTATGTGTACAACATGAAGAACCAGGTGAGCGACAAGGACAAGCTGGCGGACAAGCTGGAGTCGGAGGAGAAGGAGAAGATCGAGGCGGCGGTGAAGGAGGCCCTGGAGTGGCTGGACGACAACCAGAGTGCGGAGAAGGAGGACTACGACGAGAAGCTCAAGGAGGTGGAGGCTGTCTGCAACCCCATCATCTCAGCCGTCTACCAGAGGTCCGGCGGCGCCCCTGGCGGCGGCGCTTCCTCCGAAGATGATGATGACTCTCACGATGAGCTGTAGAAAAAAGAAATGGCATCCATCTCTACTAGTTGAGACGTGTTTTTTTTCTCTTTTTCTTTTAGTGTAGTTTTTTGTTTTTATTTTATGATTGTTGGAAGTTTGAGAACCTTTACTGTGATTTCCCTTACCACAGTTGTCTTCTCTTGGTCGATGTTTCTTTCCCGCCCCTTTTGGTTTTGAAAAATCAAACCTTAGTAATTTTCTGTTACGGGGCTCCCGTCACCCTACACTTTGCATCTTATCTTAAATATTATATGGTCATGCCAAGGAGGTGTTTTGCCAATCTTAAAAATGAGGTTATTTTTGGACACGTGAAAAAAGAAGAGTTAATTTTATATAACTTCACATTTGGCCTTAAGCAATAAAGGCTAGCAAATAGGTGATGATTTCTTCTTAAAAATTTATTCCCATACAATTATAGTATTTCATTTTCATACATTTCTACGGGATGAGTTCATGCCATTGCCTGGTAATGTTTATTTACACAAGTTCCATCACACAATTGAGAGAGAAATTGGTTAATGGGACTCACTCCACATTGCAACTTGTAAACATTCCATGCTCAAAATCTATATAGAGGCTACTACTAAACGCATTTGCTAAAGGAGTGATACTAGTCTACCCAACGAGGCCAACATGCAACACCAGATGCACAACAATGACAATAACAATGTTATCCAGTCATTTGGTGACACCAAATATACCATATTCAATAAACAAGTATCCCCTCGGTCACAAAAAGACATATTGTGAGTTACGATACTTAAAAATTATTTTTTCAATTTAATTGAGAAAATTCCATAAATGGTCCCCATGTATAGGTGATTTCCCATATTTAATCCCCAATTCTTTGGTATTCCATAAATGATCCTCAATTTTGGAAAACTATTTCATAAAGTCTTTTAGGCCAAATATGAGAAATTGTTTTTCCACAAATAGTCCCTAAAGGAATTATTATGGAATAGGATTAAAAAATTGAGGGTCATTTATAGAATATCTAATAATTGAGGACTAAATGTAGAAAACCATTTATAATTAGGTACTCCTATTTATGTAATTTACTCAATTTAATTTGTATTAAAATTTATGTAAATTAAAAACTAAAATTTTATATAAGGAGTATTAATGTGAAATATAGGTTAGCGAACAAGCTGAACAATCTAAGGATTCGAAGCTATTCAATAATGTCATCATCAATGTTGTGTCTAAACCTCCAAATGTGAAAAGAAGATTCAACACCACGCTGCAAGCCACTTCAGGTTGGAAAATTATTCCATGAGCTTTTTTTACATTGGTTTCGTTGTAATATGTTCACACTTTGATTTGTCACTAGACAACGAAGATGAGTAAAAGGAAACATGGGGTGCAAACAATTGATACCGAAGTGTTTTTTGACCGAGTCATTGATTATAATTTCATCATTTGAAGATAACAATACAAGATGAAATAAAAATGTTCTCCTCGGAGAAGAAAACTAATGAAATGTTGTGATTCAGTGTGCTTCGATTAGAGATGGAGATATAAACAAAGACAATCAAACCTCCATCCCTGACCCTATGCACGCATTGAAGCCACACACACAAAAAATAAATACAAGAAGTAGATTGTGAGTGATTCTTGTTAAATATGGGCACCAAACATACTTGCTGTATTCAAAGACAACCCAACCCGATATGACCTGTGAATCTTCATTTTATTAGTAGAAACAACTTTAGGGGGGTGGCCACCAACTTCGGGAAGACCGTCCCTTTCACTTGAATCTACAACTGGGATTTGTTTTGCGCTTGCTTCATCAGCTTCCACAATGAACTGAAGCCCCTGTACAAGCAACACCGGCACTTTGTCACACTACATTCATTACGTTTTCGTACAATACGTAAGAGACACTCTCTCACACCCAGCAGAGCATACCTTTACTGAACTTTCTTCAGGAATCAATTTGGAATGCTGTATTAACTTACCACCAACTTCCTGTACCACAGAAGAAAAGGAAGTTGTTATCACAAAGAGGTGCTGATTTGGGAGCGTTAACGATGTTTAATGAACCTAAAGTTGATATGAAAACATCGGCACGGTTCTATGACATTGAGGTTCAATGTCACATGAACCGGGGCGTGAAAACATAGAGACTACAATCATGTAACCATAATGCTTATTTTAAATACTACGTATTATTTTCTTTACTTTGTTGTGAGCACATCCTTAAGTAAACCCTATAAGAATAAAAACAAAGTTGTTCAAATGTAAACCCTCTTTAGGCATGGTCAAGCAAAAATGAAGGCCAAACGAGCAAAAAAAAAAGAGGTCCCTTAAGTCTTTTCCCGAGGTTTCTGAAGAAATATTTATGTTTACTAATACTGTTAGAATAAGAAGATATCAGTATGAAAGAAGGAATTGATGTTGCCATTTACAAGATGAACAAGTACCTCAATAGCCTTAGAATTTTGACCATGTTCAAGCCCCCCAGCAACTTGGCACAAATACCACAGACCAGAATTATTGATGTCCTATAAGCAGAAAACCATATCATGCAACTGGAAAATGTTTAATGATAACAAACATGGAAATGAGAAGGAAACATTCTGTAATGAATTTTAAAAAAATTGCCTGGTTATTCTCAAGAAGTTCAATTTTGCCTTCCTGCATTTTGATCAAAAATAATTTGAGGTATTAGCAACCTCCGCTGACTAAAGAACGATGGAAAAAACCTCTAATCCATATCATCATATCATAACTAACCAATCCAGATACCATCTGATGGATCAAGTCAATATCATATCCTATTTGATTTAAATCAGATTTCACCTCCTTTACCTGCACGTAACATTTATGCAGTATCAACAACTCAACAAATATTTAAGTGCCTGCAGTAAACATTTGCAACTTCCACACCATTGTAACTTAGCTGAATAACATTCATCCAACAACAACAACCCAGTAGAATCCCACAGAAGTAGGGTCTTGGGAGGAATTCATCCAAAAACCTATTAAAACTTAATAACAGCTGTGCTTCAAATATATGGAGAAGGTTGACAAAAACTTCTAAGCTAGACTGTTGGCCATAACTAACCATATCATCATAACTAACCATATCATCATGTTTACCTAGAGTTGTGCTTCTATAATCCTAAGGTCCACGAATTAAAAGTGGACCTTCTCACATTTTTATGGGCTCACAAATGGATCTGTTTCTTTTTGCAAAAGGCCCAACTCTTTCATGGTATTTATAAACTAAGGTCCATAAAATAAGTGTTTGACCTTAGGACTACATAAGAATTTTCCGTTTATCTAACATAATAAATTTGAAAAAGAGTGAATTTTATACATGGTCCTTTATAAGGGGGGTTTTCATATATAGTACCTAATTTTAAGATAATTACATTATGATCCTTGATATTTGAGAATTATTCCATGATCAGTCCTTTGTGGACTATATGTGGAAAATAAGATTTGGGTCAAAAGACTGTTTATGGAATTGTTCTCATATAGAGGACCACTAACATAATATCTTAGAATCGGGGACTATATATGGAAAAACTCCTGTTATGAAGAACCATTTATGGAATTTACTCTTTGAAAAATTAAGATAGAATAATTTTGTGAAAGTTTTTTTGCAAGACGAATCCAATAAAACCATTTTGTATTGTTATGCAATGCGCACATTAAACAATTAATGGTAAAAGTTCGTAACATGTCACTAAAAAAGAACTCAAAGAATACGCTAGGAGGGGGGAATTGAATTTCTCCTAAGGTAGTGTTGGTCAGTTGGTGTTTCCATTTTCTGTGAGAAGAGAGACAACCCCATTTCCAAAGCTATCAATATGCTGATAGTATAACATGAGGCAAAACACAGTTGAGGAGTGTGTCATGTTAACTGCACTGGCTACAAACTCATTGTGGGGTACCATCTAAAGATGTTTTCGCCTTTCTTGTCAAAATGGGTACACCAAAGACAGCCTGAAGCTTCACAATTATGAAAATGTGCTTAACTCAACAAAAAAAAAAAGTTAAGGATCTTACTGCATTAGTCATGTATGAAATGGCAGAAGAGCAGATTTGTGCAGTTGAGACATTGGTAAACCTTGCAGTTAATCATGTGGTTTCCACCACTATATTGCTATAAGGAAAGCTTCATACCTATTAAGGGAACCTTGCTCACTGCATGGTTATTTTTCTTGAAATTTTTGTGAGAAAGCAAACTTTGAAGTTTGAACCTTGTTTGTTGTTGGTATTAAACTAATAGTAATCCTTGACTGAAGGATCTGCTCGAGCAGTCCAGTTAACACTATTCTTTATCTCTATGTTAACTTCTGAGCATGAAATGAAATGCAGATAAATGAAATGCAGTATGGCATGCAAATAAATGAAACGTAGTGTTGCGCGGATGCACACGCACACACACACATACACATGTAATGCAGTAATTTCTTACATCGTTTACAATATGCACTGATGTCTCCTTCTGCTCATCAAGCTTCCAATCCAAGGTTTCCAGCCTCTTTGTCAAATGCCTCTTTGTTGACTGCATGAGCAATAACATGTGATAAAGCAAAAAATAGTCACCAACTTACCATTGCAACTTGCAAATTGTAGGGTCAATACTTACAGCCAATGCATCAGATACATTCTCTAGCTGCTTTGAGACAGACACAACAGCATTGGCCAAATTACTCTTTGTAACAAACATAACATCTGAGAATGACCAACCCTGTGAAACAAATGCACAAGCTAATGTTATTTTATACAACAATAGGAAAATGAAAGAAAAAAACAGAGCATCTATCATTACAAGATTCCACAGGTTTAAAGTGACTGAACTATATAGTCTTGCCTTCCACTTCATGTAATAATATCCCATTGCTCCAAGTGCAGCAGCTGGAAGAAGGTAAGAAGCATAACTCCCTGCACAAAATCAGTGATGGTTGCATCTCTTTTATATTGGTAACTATTAGATCACATCTCTGAACACTTATTTCCTGCCACAGTCTCAAATTGGAAGGTGGGCCATCAGAAGAGGGAGTAAACTAGCTATGACCTAGAATGATTCATAGAACCTTCTGAAATCTGATACCCAGTTCATTAGAGCAACGATGTGTTAGAATTGCTGAACTCAGGGTGAACAAGATATGAGAGTATTGTGAATAATTCACATATCATACACAGGCTTCCTTATTTGCTATGATAACTAGGTATCTGATGAACTCAATATCCATATTTCAAGTATCGATGTGTAAATGGATCCAAGCCTACAAGGAAAATTTAGCAAAAACATGGTAAGTGCACATTGTCACTTACTATTGGAAGAATCCCCGTTGAAGATGGTTACTGGGCTTGTGAAACTTAAATCCTTAATATCTTGAGCCAACTGCCGAATCTGAAA